TCGTCAGTGGAAGCGACAGTTCATTTTTAATATAAAGCACTGGTGTGGAGGTGGGATCTTCCGGGATGTAGCGATAAAAAGAATATGGCAACTGCCGTGGGCAGTTACTTTTCTCTAGATCTACGAATTCGCGATAGGTAGAGTCTAATGGTTTGTGAAAATTATGGCTATGGGCCATTTATCGCGATATTAGTACATTTTGTTTATGGCATTTTTTACAAAATATCAGAGAAGAAGCTATTTTTCGTTGAAATCTAATTTTAATCATTATAGGAAAAAAACTGTTATATTATGATGCATTATCGTGAATTAGTATTTATAGTTAAAATCAGATGTCGATTTATGTCACTTTTGATATCCTGAAACAAGGATATTAGGATAACCTTTGTGTTTGCTTTTATACCTATGTGTGTGGTTAGCCCTCCGGCATATGTTATCGTCTTTTTTGAAAATTTTTACACCTACTTTCCTTTTACGAGTATCTAGACTAACAGATATAGGAACCCTCAACGTCTTTTATTCCCATCAGCCGTCGCTCGAAAGGGGAAGATATGCGAAGCGTGGTGATGTCTACTCGACAATATCGTCGCCATTGCAGAGCTTCGTCTTCGAGCATTTGCATAAAGTTATTGTCAAAATCGAAAATTGCGGTTGTTTGACTTTCTTTATATTATAGAAGATACGACTGGAACATGTTACGTTTCAGACTGTGTTACATTTATCTTACTGTTATAGTTTGATGAATGTTAATAACAAATGAGAAGAATTGTCATTTTCACACACAAACGTGTATATTTATTTTATTTATGTCTCTATATATGTATAAAAATAAAAAGAAATTTGTAAGATAAAACCATAATCGTAAGTTTATACCAAAGAAAATCGTTTGATTTTAAGAAACAAAAAGAAATCCTTACTTGTCTGATATAATCTGAGAATCTTTCTCTCTCTGATATAATATAATAAATTATACATGATATGAAGCCTCTCCTTCCCCTAATATATGACTTCGTATTACGTATGATTTTATATTTGAATGTCATAACAATAAGTGAGAGAGAGAGAGGGTAAAGATTTCTTTCCGCTTTTGAAAATCAGTTCGCGCGATCTCCTCTGCTGCACAATCTTGCCATGAAAGAATGAGAGAGAGAGAGAGAGAGAGAGAGAGAGAGAGAGAGAGAATAGCAAGGAGGAAAAGACAGAGCATAGCGGTACGAACCCCACGCTTTTATAGCGGTCCATTTGGCGCAACAACGAGCGTGGAAACTTCTTTTAGTGTCGGGCTACAGATTCCGGGGCGAAATACGCGTACGATTATGGGGTTCCGGATTATCAATTTGTTATACTGTGTTTATTATTTGAGCTCTCGGTGAACAGGCAAGCACCCCGCATCGTTCGCTGCGGAAACCCCGTGCAGCTGCAAAGCGTCGTAGTCGGTCGATTTTGGGGATAATCTGGAATATGTTATGCGCGGTGCTATCCCTCCAGATGTTTGCGCCAGAACCAACGAGCTGGGAAAAACTGTACACGCATAAGAACTACGTTTCTTACTTTCCATAATTCGCTTTGCCGAGTTAGAACAGCCCCGGATCGAATGTTTACCGTTACCTCGTGCTACGAACGTTAACACGTAATCCTTCCAAAATTGGGAGAACAATCATAATTAAAATTTATCAAGGCACTATAATATTTGTGTGTGAACTCTATATGCCCTTTAAAATATCCTTGTTTAATCACTGATTTATAATTTGAGTTCTTTTATTACTATTTAACACGTAATAGTAAGTAATAGAAGTAGTAGTATTAGTAATAGTAACGATTATGATGAGTATATTCAAAATAACGTATGATTTCCAAAGAAAATTAACTGTAGCTTCGGACTAACATAATTATTATAATGTGTAAATAGTGTTTTTCTTTAGTTTTTTTTCTGTAAACTACTTTATTAGACTCTGCGTAATGTTTTTAAATCGATTAACGATGTCGATCGATCATTTACATAAGCAGATATCGGAAAAGCTTTATCGTACATTGAATTCGTTCCTTTCGGATATCACCGTCTTAAGACCCCTTTTCCTTCCATGAGCAACCGCAGAGACAGAGGACTGCTCTGTGTGTGTGTGTGTGTGTGTGTGTGTATCATAGTAGCTGGGATTTTCTAGGAGAGTTATCTCTAATTCAGCGAGGATTTACTCGCCAATGAATCTTTAAATTAGATGCTCTGTTCTTTTCGTACTGCGCTCCTCCCTAAGGAGGGTAAAGTCCCGCTCGCTCAATCACCTATATCATGGAATCGCCGAATATAGTCAATTCTTTCCACCCTTCTTTCGTTATCGAGTCTTTACGCCCTCAATTCCACCGCGCTCACCAATATTTGTGTCTTCGTCGTAGGCTCTCAGAAATTCCGACGTTTTTAACCATTACTTTTGCCTTGATCGTGTGGATTATCTCGAAAGCCACGTGATAATTTTGTCTAGCGGATTCGTGAGCATCAAGCTGCAACTATTAGCAGTATCAAGTATCAGCGCTATATTAATTAATGGCGGAAATGTAGCCCGACGTAGTTTAGTAAGAAGCAGTTCGCCCACGAAAATGGCCGTCCCGCAGGAGGGTGTAAGACGGTGGATAGAAGATAGTGGCGAGGATGATGATAATCCAGCTTCTAGCCTAGTCCTATCCCGGGGGATGCAGGGATTAATTGACACATCGGCGTCTTGGAGGAGTCTGCTGGGCTGACGCCTCTGCTTTGGCACCCACCGACGTGACTGATGAGACGCCTGGAACAAGGCGTCGGGAAAAACACTCATGGATTCGTGGCTTTTTTGTAGAAAAGGTATCCAGCAAGAATTACCGACGAAGCATGGAACGTCGGTCGCGCTTCTCCTCCTGGCAAATAACTCAACTAATCAGACCACGTCCTCCTTTATCGTCCCATCCACGGCGTCCCCGAACTAAAACATCTCGGCTGAAGGGCACGTAGATGTAACAGATTGAAATTTAATACGAGCAGTATGGTGACATATACGGAAGGACGAGAGACGGTTACTTAAGGTTTCGTAGACGCGGGACCATTTTCATGACGAAGGAGATGACACCGTCTTGGGCAGGAAATCATTAGTGAGTTCGACAGTTAAAATCGTAATAACAGAATAATGAGTTTAATTCCCGTTGGTTATAACTCACGGAAACTTATGGCTTGACTTGAAACAGAAGAGAGAGAATTCTAACAAAATAATACTCGAATACCATTCTAGGTATTATTCGTAATGTTTGCATTTTGTGTTTTCACCAGTTTTATTTTAACAGTAAAAATGCTCATATAATACGAACCAACGCATGAAACCGTTTTTTTAAATTACACCTTTAGATAATTAAACTTCTTATTTTTTAGTTCTCAAGCGCGATATTCTTTCGCTCTCGTCACCAAGAATATAATTATAAAGAGGTCCGGTAGGCTCGCAAATCACAAAGAGATGAGCGGGCAGCGCAACGATAAGGGATAACACGGTGGTTGAAAGCAAAGAGCCGACGTGTACGAGGCGTCGGTGGCGGCACCCCATGTGAGTTATGACCGTCCCGACGCTCTCTCCCGTTAGTCCAGGGCTCAATTTACAGATGATTCCGCGTGTTACCGCCTGGCCAGCGGCTGGTTAACCTCCGTGCCAAACACTTAATCTTCCGACGTGTCCTGTGAATAGTCCGACCGCGTTTTGGAGGCGGCACGACGTTAAATCGCCGTCGTAGCCGCGAGATCGGCATGAGAAAGAGAGAAACAGGGATAGATAAATGGACCGAGACGTAGGGTACAGATTGTAGTCAAATGGAGGCCCTAGTGGCCCATAAAGTTAGCCAACCCTCCAAATTGTATTGCCACCCACTATCGTATACATGCAAGCTTCGGTGACATGTGGAACGTGCCGTGAACGGCTCCACAAATTTATTGGTCCTCGATAGCCTCTCGCCACAACCAACAAGTTGTTGGAAAACGAGTATCCGCTGAGATATCTCCGACTTAACGCGTTGTAGCTCATTCACGATATGGTACTGCACCGGAATATACCCCTGTTTTCGGCAATTCGTATTATGCAAAACGTGCTTGAATCTGCATACAATAAACGCGATAATGAACGGAATGTAGGTGAAATGTATTTCCCTTAGAATATATTAATCTTGCATATAAATGATGTAGCGTTCTGTGAGCATAAAGAGAGAGTCCTAAAATGAAGCACAACTCTAACGTAACTGTTTTGTTGTTGAAAGAAAAGCCATCACATCTGGCAGCAATATTGTGCCATGAATGAAATAATATATTATTATATGCTGACCAATATTGACAAATGTGTGGTTTTCGCATGTTATGTACTCCAGATGTACGGTATGTTGTCAGTAGGAAAGGACAGCTTAGAACTGTCATTAGCCGTCGGATGGCAGGCACCCTGTGGTGAGCCACAATGTAGCGGCGAGGAGCCAATAGACTCCTAATGCTATAAACGCCGCACCGAATCCTACCAGCCACCGTTAATTGACTTGCACGTTTGTCACTTTACAACCAGACAAATTTCTACTTATGTTTGCTCAAGATATAGACTCCAGCAAGGGCAGTGTGTGGGATGGTTGATTTTCGACGGAATTCTCGCATATTAAGATGCTTCTTATACATTTAATATTTAGTTTAATTGATAATTAACAAGTTTAACGCGTTTAACAGTTACTTAATTTTTCATTTATCATTGCATAGATAAATGGAAAGGTACAAAAGAGAGGTGAGCATTACACGTTTAAATTCAACAATAGTTATTAATAAGAATGATTGTGTGGTATCATAAACGCATCAACACGTTAGTTCGCGTATAATACTGGTAATTTAAAATCTTTCATTGTGTTTATATACGAGAAATAATGTCTCATAATTTCTAAGAGAGAGTTTCATTTCTCATTAGCAGTTCTTAAAAATGATGCGTACGGTTCATGAAATTAAATGTCTATACTTGATGACTTACCTTGCTGGTTACTTTTCCTAGTAGTCTTCTTTTCTTTCATCCAAGGATACTCAGGAACATTGACACCTGAAGGGTCAGCGACACCGTGGGGATCCATCATGGTATGATACGGAGGATGATGAGTACCAGGACTGATAGAACCGCCGGTACCTGGCGAGTGTTGCATACTGCTGTCTCCAGCCAATTGTGGCAACGCCGTCATGAATTCAGCCATGGAAGGTTGACTGTTGATAAAGCCGGTTTCGGCGGATCCGCATGTTGGGTCCATGGCTGGGTGATGAGTCCCGTGCGGGGGCAGCCCGGCTGGGGTACCTGCCCCCGCGGCCACCGTGGCCAGCCAGAAGCCGCCCCCTCCGTCGTTCGCCAGGACGGGTGTCGTCGGCCTCGTCTTCACGGTCGATAGATCTTTGCCTGCGTGAACCAAATTCTGAAGATGATTACTCAGTCGCAGATTGCTGGAATCGGACAGCTGTGGCTGGTGCGAATCTTCCTCGGCGCGTTGCTTGTTGCTTATCAATGCTTGTTGCTTATCGCGCATGGAACGCACCAACTTTCACTTGAAATTGACTTTTGTCTTTAGTGATAAACGCAATAATTAAGCAATTATTTGTTGAGAGGCAACGGTTACAGAAGAGAGGCGAATTTCTTTCCAACGTCCGATAATTCCTCACAATATATGGGCTTTGGAGAACACATTATACACATAAATTCACTCGACAAATGTTTCACCAACGGGTTTGCATATTTTCCAGGCGATGTGTGTGTGTATTCAAACGTCGCACTGCTATCAATCGTAGAAACTTGTCAAGTCAATGTTTACCTTTGAAGATAAAAGAGAATATAAATCTGTTTGTGTAACTTATTATGTATTTCCCTTGCTTTCGTGCACTGCCACAAGCGTATACGTTTTGCAAATCGTCACTCATCTTCTATTTCAGTGACACGAAGTATGCTCGTTTGTGTGCTTTTCTTCCTTTATTGGTCGACGCCTTTCGTCAAAACACCTATTACTTACTTGTGTCGACCGTGTGGTTTTATGCTAAACAAACATCACGATCTCCAGTTTAAAGATCAAATCCAACCGCTTACCGCGCATTCACTGCTCACAAATCACCGTAAGTTACATATTCATAATCTTCCGCCGTTTTCAATTAATCACAATAACTTGTCTTATGAAACTCGATGACGAAAAATAGCAGATTTTCAGATCACACTACCAACATGACACTGTTTGCTCGCGGTGCAGCTTCGCGTGCAACCAACTCCAGATCCAACTCATAGATCTACCAATCTCAATGTGAGAAAAAGCAGACACAGATCACTGGTATCACACGTAGTCGCGGCGATTTGATCGATAGTCCAACCGATCGACGGAGAACGCCGTACCGAATCGCGCGTATCGCGGCTGCCGTCACCGTACCGATCGGCCAAAACCCAAGCAAGCAGGCTAGGGTAGGCCAAGCAGTCACCGATTGCGGTATACTTGCTAAGTGACGGAGGAGAGGGAGGAGATGGAGATAGTGGCTATGAGGGAAGGTGGGGGTCCAACGGATCCGTAGTGGAGGTACTCGTTGGCCGAGAAGGTGCTGTGGGAAAGGCGGGGGGGCGTTCTATAGAAAGAGACGGTCGTCTCCAGTCACCAGAACCGAAATTTCCACGATCTTTTTCGCTTCTCCGGCGTTCCCGGTGTCTCTGTTGTTACTGCTGTCTCTTTCCACGTACCGCAGGAGGGGGTGGCGGGGAGACAACTTCGGAACCGAGGTGGAAGTCGCCCCTTAATGTGGCGGTGGTCCAGTCACGTGACTTCGCTCGTCGGAATGGAGCGACCAATCATGAAGCGGTAACACAAGCGATGAGGCACAGCCCTCCGCCGACGTAGGCGGGCTGGCCTGTCGTGGCGACGGTGGCCTTGGAGGGCTCGGAGGGCACACAACCAGGAGGGTACGACAACCAGGTCCGTGCCGTGAGAGTGCAGGCGGGCGACTCTCGTGCGGACGAGCACGAGACCCGTTTGGGCGGCCACGGTTACCCGGCGCGACTGTGGGCGGTACGCGCGAGCGCGTCGTTCAATATTGCGCCAAGTAGTGGGGAACTTTCTCACGTGCTCGGCCACGCGGTTCTACACCTTCGCTGGATGAACGTCCGAATCAAGGTACGGTAGTATCTCGCCTCTATTAAACCTTGAATGATACCGCGAGTTCATTGTTAAGTCAGCGGACCAGCAATTCGGAAAGTCGGAAACCAAATCGCGTCGTTGTTTGCCTTGGACACTGTTGGATTTGCTTTGGACCCGGTCCAATGATGTTTTTTCACGTCAGGCTCCATCGCGTTGCAATAATAGAACGGTATTTGGACCAAGCCCAATTTATTGCAACAATTCCGACTTGCGGTCCATAACCGTATTTGTGGTTGTTCTTTAGAGATTCCATTTTCGTCACACGTACAGTACTTGTGTATATCGGCTTGAAATGAGGAATGAAGTTGCGCTGTAAGTCGAAGTGAAAAAGATTACGTTTAAAAACGTATAAATGGCTTTTCACGAATCACTCTTATAGAACTGGGAATAACATTCGACTGATCATAAGATGTAGATGTAGTAAAGTAGCTGACATATATTTCGAAAACAACCGTTAGTCTCGGATAATCGCACAAAGTGCTGCAACTTGTAAAAGATCCTTCATCCTTTGAAAGGGATTTTGTGAACTGAATCGGTTTACATGCATCGGCTGCTATCGTATTGTCGCAACGGTCGGAACTGCTAGGGGCGCCGGATGGTATTACGACGGCTCGCAGTGGGGCAGTTTTGATGACAGATTACTCTGATCCGCTTTGTGGAGTAGCTCTCATTTAGACAGGCGGTTTGATTGAAAAGTTCGTTTCCGACGAAAAAAAGTTTGTGTCGCTACCCGTGTGGGCAATCGAGCAACCCGCGTGAACAAGTCGTTTACGTGCTTCACAATTGGTCTCCTAGCGTGAGAATGTTAAACTCATTATGGCTTTCATGCGTACCCAGATAGCACACAATCTTCAGAGAATATTCTAGGACGTAGAATATTCTTAGAATGTATGAATGTCTTAGAATATCTTTAGAACATCTTTTGAAAATTTGTGCTGTATGGGTATTGAAATGTTGAATAAATTTCACGCATAAATTGTACGCGTATTTATATATCACGTTGGAATCTAATGACAAAAACGTTGTGTAGTTTCTGGGTAAAAACACTGGGTAGTTTCTTTATACCTGAGTATCTACCCAAGTATTTACTCAATACATCAAATTTGCGAATACTTGGATATACTGAGAGAAAAAATATCTAGAAATTAGTAAATATTTATTTGGTAAGCACTAATATTGTGTTTATTTAAATCTAAATTCTTTTATATAAATAAAATAAATAATTGTTTTTTCATGAAAAGCTAAGGTTTTCTTAAGATTTTAAGAATATATATATTTACTCATTTGGAAATTTTATATTAGTTTAAATAAATATGTTATTAGTACCTACTGAATAAATATTTACTATTTTTCTTAGATATTTTTTCCCTTAGCGTATTTGAATGTGTATTCAAAATATAATCGGGGATATATAGATAATATCTAATTGAGAATACTCAAGTCCTGAAAATTGACTAGAGTATTAATACTATTAATTTATGCATTGATTAACAAATTTTAATGCACAATCGCTATGAAATAAATGGTACAATGATAATGATAAATAGAACACTTTAAGAAAACGCGGAAGAGATGGAAATTTTCTAGAAATTTTATATAAATTATTACATATCAAATGCAAATTACTATCTCTTTAATCAGTTTGAATTAATATATTCAATTGCGTTAGAGAGTGGGTTGAGTGAAATTTTGGTGAGGTGGCAAGGGTGCCAACTATTTCGGAGCGTAAAGCGGGCACGGATGGTCACGAGAGGAGGGGGAGAGAGCCGAAGGAGAGCGAAGAGGGCGAGAAAGCGGGAGGGTGACGGAGAGAGATGAGAGAACGGAGAACACCCGCCACATCTGCCGCCAGATTTAACTATACATTACAGACACACGATATGTCAAAGTCCTATACTTCATATCGACTCCGCCATTTATTAAAAGTTTCATCGCGCGCGCCTCGCTCGCGCCACCGATGTTCAGCAGCCCGACCCCTTCTTCCAGGCATACCCCGAAAACATATAGGAAGAAAGGCTCGAAATATACGAACGAAAAGTTCGAGAAAAGAGCGCGGCGAGGAAAGGGGTGCGCTCCTCAGATTGACATAGTTGCAGCGCCCTGCGCGACGATAAAAGCGACTGCGCTATCTTTCTTCGGCGATCCTTTATTTTATTTTCTTTCGCTGTGTAAGACAGAGTTTCCTGATAACGAATTTCTAAGGTTCCTCGGAAATTGCGAGACGATAATTCTCAACGTTCGGATCTGCATTTCGCTTTATATTAATCTCGAGATTGTACGCCATCTTACAGCCCGTGACGGTGAAAAAGTTGCCACGAAAATTTTTTATTTCATAGCACGTGACGCTGCAATTTTGTCGGAAGTAAGAAGTAATATTTAGAGCAATGCGCACCGTGAAAAGCTTAATGCCGGAAAAATAAGATCCTTTCAGGCTTCTCTTTTTTGTGGCGACCGCGGAATTTCTGTGTGTCGGATCTCTTCGTTTCCTCTGGCTGCTGCCGATTGCGAAATGAAGTTTTATATTAAGCTCGGAGTTTTCTCTCTTTCTCCTGCACTACGGATGCGCGCGCGTCTCTCATCACCCTACTCTTTTCTTTTCTTTCTTACCGCCGCTTTTTCTCCCACGCTTGTCTTCGCTCTTTGTATATTTACGTACCGATAGATCGTTATGTCGGTGTTTGCATATATATTGACATTGCTGCTTTTCCCACAACAGCGCGTGATATATGCGCTGCCAGGTGATGTGCTTATAGTGTATTATTGTTATAATGATTTACAAATTTTTAATAACTGTAAATATTACGAATTTTATTATGTATATATATAATGTTATAATGTGTTTCGTATATATTTGGAAACGTGTCTCAGCTTAGGTGGCTTGTTAACGTAGCTTAGTTACTTAACGTTAGATTCTAAAATATCTTTGTTGTTTTTTGATATTAGAAGAAAATGTGTGAGGAAATTGTATGGTTGAAAGGGTTGGTTGACCATATTTACTCTTATTGACTATATTTACCCTTTCTCTAATAAAAACGACAGAAACTAACGTTAAGTAACTCACTCTGTTTGTAATATGTAATCTGAAGAAACTTATTACTCAAACAAGTCTTTCATTTTTTTTTGGACATTTGGGTATTGTGAAAACAGAGACACGACTTAAAGCAAAAATTTAGCTGGCAATAAGTACTTTCACGAGTGGCCAAGCAGCTATTTCGCCATTGCCTAGGTTATGGTTCTTCATTCAGCGAGTCGTTATAATTAGTTAAAAGAAGTGTGTACTGAGAGTAGCGTATCCACCATTAAAGCAAACCATCTTTCATCGCCATTTTAGCCATGGTAACCGGCACGAGTCCGCGAGTAGGGCTCGACCTGTCAATCAGCGGATCACTGAAACGGGTCTTTGCCGTCCTTGCTTCATTGGAAAGAAGAGCTCGCTTTTCGTGCCTAAAATGCTCCGAGCCCCCGCCGACTCTCTTTCAACTTTTTCTTCCTCGACGTCTGGAGTAAAAGCGAACTCGTTAGACGCTTCAAGTGAAATTTTCTCTCGTTCCACTGATAGCTAATATGCTACCGGAAGTTATAAAATTTTACTTCCCCTAGCTAGTTTTTGAACTTGACCCGTCACATTATAGGTGTTATTTTAGGTGTTGTTCAGAGATTAATATTCAGCATCATGTTCGTACAAAGTCCTGATTGAAAGTTGAATTTTCATTAAAATTGGTTATATATTTATATGAGTTTATATATTTATTTGGTTATATATTTATATGATTTTATATGGTTTTATTTGGTTATTATTTAATTAGTTATATATTTATATGAGTCACTTAACGTTACATTCTAAAATGTCTTTGTCGTTTTCTTAATTGTGAAAATATATAAGGAATAAATTGTATGGTTAAAAGGGTTGGTTAACCATAATATTTACCCTTTCTCTAATTTAAAAATAAGAGACATTTTGGAGTTTAATGTCGGGTGACTTACTCTGTAATATATAATCTGAAAAAAAAACTTGTTACTCAGACAAGTATTTTATTTTTCTTGGACATTTATATCGTGGAAACAGGAACACGACTTAAAGACAAAAAGTACTTCGTCTGAGCTCTATAATAAATTAATAATTAGACAATTAGGCTCTACTTAACAGCTTGTAAAAAACAAGCTAACAGCTTGTAAAGCGTGTAGCTTTAAATGCACAATAAATGTCAGATTCGATGCGATGAGAAGAGGGATACGGTTAGATACGATCATAGCACGGATGAAAATCGTTCGTAAAGTGAAAACGCGAAGGAGAGTATTGTCACCGATGCAAAGATAAAGGTGAGCAGGCTCGTGCTGAACAGCAACGGCGGTTCTTGCGATTAGTGCGCGACTAGGGGGAACTGCGTAGCCGAGGAGTCTGAGGTTTTAATTAAGCATTCACTGCGGATGATATCGCATGCCTCTTTATACTTCATAGCGGCCAGATGTTGCTACGAGAATGTTCCTTGCCTTAGGTCCTCTTCCCTCACTCTGATTCGAGGCAGCTAGAACCGCACGAGCGACGTTCCGCCCGTCGCTATTTCGTTTTAATTATGCATATTTAATTTGCTTATATCCTGCCCTCGTTTGATACGTTGGCGTAGTTGGATGCGTTCACTCCGCCGGCAATCATTCGTCCGTTCGAAGACGTTTAATTAGCGGATCGCTGGATGGCTTCTCGACTCGACGCTCCGGCCACTGATGACAGATTCTTTATGAGTGACTTTTAATGATTTGGCCGCGGAAGTCGGTACATTTTTCGCGCTGTATTTATTACGTCCGAGACTCGCGCTGAGGACCTTATATTGGAAAGTTTTATCATTCCTCCACTTGCTCTTTTTCCATAGATTCGGAACTTTTCTTCCGAGTTATTTTTCAGGGATGGGGAAAGACAGAGGGATTTCCCCGCAAGTGCTCGTGGAACAAATCTACCCCCAGAACTCGAGGTATACCCAGTTCTACAGCCGACACTTGGCGCAAATTGCCCCAGTAAGTGTAGTACATTAATCTTTGGTTTGGTTTGGTCTCGGCCACCGCGTGTGTTGCGGTAGCCGCATTTCTCGTAACCTTCTCTCTCTCTCTCTCTCTCTCTCTCTCTCTCTCTCTCTCTGCACACCGACATGCCGCATATTCAAAGACTTTCTCCACGTTTTCGTATTCTCTCGTAACCACCTGACCGTAAATGCATACTTGGTGGATGTCACATATAGTAGTTGATTGCGCGAAATGTTTTATTGCCGTGGAAGGGGGATGTTTTTCATATTTAAACATTTCTATTGTGCACACTTATAATCGTTCTTAGATTTTTTTCTGTACACAGTGGAACACACGACTGTGGTACTGCAGTGACAAAAGTGGTATGTGTGTGTTTGCAATATATATGTAAAGTAAGCAAGTGGCAGGAAGTATCTCACGCACACACTTGAAAATATGGCATTCGCATACTGGACAAAGGTATACCGCTTTTGTTCTTCTACCCTTGTCGGTCTCTCATATTCCTCTCGTCCTCGAATGAGTTTCAGCAACCCTTCCGCCCTTAACAGGCCACCTTAACTGTAACCTCTGCACACACTTGTTACTCGGGCGGTCAGAAACCCAGACACGGCCTTTCGTAATGCGAATACCATGTCGCACACCAGGAATTTGGGATCTCTAGCGAGCCCTTCTTTATTCGATTAAATAAATTGGCAGCGATTACGTTGACGCGGGTTTTCCGAATGGGACTCTATGTCTGACGATGATCGAGAGTAATTAATTGCGGCTACTTAGACGTAATTGTCTACGGTATTCTTTCTTAGTTTGCACATTATCGTTAGTGATACTCTAATAAACTGAATATGATGAAATTTTTAAGGAAAATTAAATAGGCTCTCTGCGATAGATAATAATAGCAGAAAAGGGTCAGTTAAATTGTTATTAGTATTCTAGTATAATGTATAGAAATTAGGATATTCTCTATTTTAAATTGCAATATTTTTATTTGACCTATGTTCTGTGTATTGGGAAAATTAGGATATTACGGCTTATGTGATATTACAGCTTCATTCGTGATGCTTACGATTGCCATCAATTGCACAGTAGGAATCGCGTTTGGGGTATATAGGATGATACTGGAGTCTCACAAAGTGCGGGCAGGTCTTGGCATCGTTGCAATGTTGCTGCTTTCTGACCTGTACAAGTTCTCGCAGATTGCATCATAACGACGCCGTAATTCGGCAAACAATCGGAAGGTACACCATATTCGCCAATGTATTAAGTTTTCTACACGGAAAAGAAGGTTTGGTTGAATTAACCATTTAAAAGGTTTGGTTAAATATCTGTTCGAATACGAACGATCCAGAAATTCCGATTGAAGTAACCCGAATTCTATTTAAGTTAACAAGATTTTTGATTGACTTAAACAGAATTCGGGTTACTTCAATCGGAATTTCTGGATCGTTTATATTCGAGCAGATATTTGGTTAATTCAACCAAACCTTTTTTTCCGTGCATGATTCCAATAACATTTGAAAAGCCACACACATTCAGATTAGCATTCAGATTAAACAACTTTATGGAGTTGGTCCTTCTCTGACCACACTGAGAGAAAAATGTATGATATTTGGAACTATAATGGCATAGTAAAAAGATTATAGTTAGGAATATAATTTTTATAGTAAATGTTATCATAATATTTGTAATATTTACAATATAGGCATAGTATAACTGACCCGTGTAAAATTTTTGCCAAGAATGATAATTATTTGAAATAAAAAATATAGTAAGGTAGCAAATATTGAATGGTAAGAGAAATTAACTATTTTATATAGTCAATATAATTGGAATATTTGGAATATAGGTACATGTAACTATATTCCCATATATATAGAGTAATAAGATGGTGACTATAAATCTGTCTTCATTCTACTATATCTTCATGTTTAGATGAACTATAAATATATGTTTGAGGCCAAAACGAATTGTAAAATATAGTGAGATTATAGTTATTCCAACTACTTCTTTCTCTCAGTGCAAGAATTAGACATGGGGGAAATAAGGTTTTTCCGATCGATCAGAAGATTCACACAATCATGCTCTATATTCGCTGTAGGGTGTATCAAGTTATCCGTGTACACCTCCGGAGTAGCGCTCTAACTTCAGGCGTCTCATCACCCCCTTATGGAATTTGATGACTTGCACGTTTGCAGCCAGAGCATGAATCTGCTTCATGTGCATGTGCGATGGACGACGTGCTTCATCCTTCGAGATCGTTGCTGCTCGAATCACATGTCCATTTATTCTTAGCTAGAAAAATAAGATCGCCGAATGACAACGCCGTTATACATCTCAGCTCTGAAATTTTAGATATATGGCTTTGTTACAGGCGCCAAATAAGGCTGAACGGGCGTAGTGTATCGTCATTAAGTGCAGATGACGTTAGTAATTTTGCAACGTTGCTTAACACTGCGAATTAAGCAATCTGCATCGATGGTGCAAATATTATATATTATGAACATATATATCTCATAATTTTCGATTCAGTATAGTATATAACATATAAACATAATAATCTCAAACTATACGAGACAGGAAAATTCCTAGCGTTTTGTAATAAGTTGATGACTTGAAAAAGAGTTCTGTTTGTAAAATATCGCTAAGCAATACATTACCTTAATGAATTAGAAATTGGCTGAGCATTCACAGCAGACTGAAAGTTCAATTAACTTTAAGAATCAGATGACATATTTAATTTCCTCGAGATAATGAGAGTAGGTAGGAGGAAGTGAGGCCAGCAGCGGGGCTGGAAGATACCGGTAGGAGTTCCGGAAGGAGACGCCCGTTCCTTCACGTTGGTGTTAGAAGGAAGAAAGAAGCGTCAAACTTATCGAGAGAAAAAAAATTGCTAGAGAGAAGAGTGTTGGCTTTATTTAGAATATTAAAAATACTTATATTAAAAACAGAAATGAGGCTAAATATGTTATACTAAGATAAACATATACAATAAGAAAGTCTGATTGCAATGATAACAATTTGGGGCTTCATCCAAAAATTGCGCTATTTTTCATTTTAAATCATTGATTCCCTGATAGTACTTGCCAGCGGGAGTCTTCACGCTCAATTATAAAAAGCTAATTTAGAAAAAAAGATGGGAATATGAATTATTTTTTATTTTAGACGAAAAATCTAATATTAAATGCAAGAATTGCATTAATCAGAAATGCTAGTTAATATATCTCTTATAATATATTTATAATCATTGGGAAAAAAATAAGCTATTCAAGGAACACAATATTTTTTCTAATAAATGCAAAAAGTGGGATCTTGAGAAGTAGGGCGGTAAGATCAGCTTTGTTTCAGATTACCATTCTGTTTTACATTTCTTCTCCCTTATAGTGGGTGTTGGTGTTTCGCCGTTTGTTTCAGAGTAACATGTGTGCAGTTCAAATCGATTGGTTATGAAGAAACAGCGGAACGTAACGATAGGGTTTGTTGTCGCGGCTGAATTTTGTCAGGAAGCTTTTATCTCTTGGCAAGGACTAAATCGTGCGGTCACGGCGTACATCTATTTGTCACTTGGACTGCTTCGTAGTGGACGTCTTCGGGAAGACAGTAGGGCGTCGTGACGCCTGGCCAGAGTCCGACATCACGTCGTACGTTCTTTCTTTTTCAGCGGTCTTCCTTCCCCCTCTCTCCTGGGACCACTCCATCTTTCCTCCCTGAACCGGATCCTCGGAGAGGAGTAGGTAGCCCTCTGTTAAAGAGGTAATTTGTGCCACGAGCAATCCAGCACACTTCCAAAAGTTGTGCACCTTTCCGCGACTCGTCCATGTCGGGATGATGTCGCTTGCTAGGCGAAATATTTCTATCTGCATGCTTGTTCCCTCTTTTTACTCTTTCTCTCTCTTTTCTTCTTTTTGGATTTAGCCATAAGATGCTCCCAAAGCAATTTGCTTTACACTTGAGAGAAGAGCGGGGACCTAATCTGTTATATAAAAGAATTTATTTTGAATGAGCATGGATTTTCATCATCCAATTACGGTTCGGTCTTAACCGCTTCCACGTTAATCGCGTCTAGATTATTACACGCGACTTTTCCGGTGGCTGATTTATCCCCTCTCCCCCTCCCCCGCCACTCTCTCTCTCTCTCTCTCTCTCTCTCTCGACTTCGGAATAAACTTAAGGTAGAACTAAATCCCTATTTTATTTACCGAAGGACGGCGGGGATGAAGACGGGAAAGGCCCTCGGCCGTGTACTAAATTTAAAAGTAAAACCTCCGCCTTTGTTGCCGAATCCCCGTGCTGAAAGAGAAGGTTGCTCTGCTTCCACGAGCCATTCAACAGATTTAAATAGCTCCCGAGCTCCCAATAGCTCGATAGCTCTTTTTCGTTGTTTTAAAGCTCTCGCAGTCTGTAGGTTAAACGATACCGCATTCTCGTCGGGCAACGTAACCGGCAGTTTCGGTGCAATTTGTCAAGCAAGACCTATTTGTAAATTATGCCTTTGATACGCCCTATTCGATGTGCCCTATAATGTTGAAGTATATGATCATACCTCATACGTAGAAAAGGGCACGCCATTGTCCGTTTGCTAATAGTCAATAATACTTTGCACGTATATTGTGCGAAATTTCACGTCAGACGTTTCAGCGCGAGGCCACTGGCTTTACAAGGCCGGTGATCAGTTAAATCAAATCATAAAAGAATCCTAATTAACTGCTCTTTTGTGCGGGCGAGCTTGCCGGTCAGGTTAGGCTAGGTTACGCGAGAGCTTACGAAGTAATGGCGATGAGAAAGCGCGGGCAGGGTTCACTGTCTTCGCTCGCGAAATTGGGACTTCCGACTTTCGCTGCCCCGCTAATTTTGAATAATATCCGCGGCAGGCGCTGCAAGTATTTCTTTCCAGCTGTAGATTTATAGCCGTAAACGGCTGGATGTTATAAAGCAGTAATTTGTTAAATGTTAGTGTAATTTATTGCTGTTTGACCGGAACGTTACATATGTGTGTTTATAATATTTTTTCAATCATAAATAAATAAGATAGACAGAGGAGAGGGAGGAAGGATGAGAAAAAAATTGAGCAGAATTGAGAAAGACAATAGTCCTTGTGCAGACTCACAACAACAAAAATTTGTGGTATTAATTTAATATATAGAGGCGATTAGCAGAATTATGACAGCTTACGAAGATACGTAGGAACTGTTGCCGTAAGGTTTCCGCAACAAAAACTAACCTTTGACCGCAGAGCACCTGGTAGCGTCATAAAGGACAATAATATTTTTATAATTGAAATTAATTGCATGTTGACCGCCGTAGCACATGCTTGTGCGACCCGCAATGAAAGTGGAAACGGTAGAGGTCGTCCTGCAGACGACAAATGAAAACAAAGCAACCGTACGGTGACTTACCCGTCGCGTAGGTACTGCAATGAAAAAATCCTGCCAAGATTCATTAGGATGCACCTCGGAGCTTTTCTCATTAGTGTCTCGCGATCTGTATACCACAAGCGCTGGTAACATTAAGAAAACAGATTTGATACGAAAACTTTATATAACTTTTCTTCTTATTGGCAACTTACGTGTGTGTAATTTTTTATAACGTCTTTGTTATAATTTTACCATGAACAGAATAATTACATTTTTCCTCTCATCTCGCCATGTATGCAGTGTATATGTAGTTTGTATTTCTAGTATTTCTAGTATTTTCTTCGAAAATTAAGGATTATAACTCGCCTTATTTAAAATCGCCGAATTAATTAATCATGTATAACGTTCGCTGTGAAAACCGCAAGGCCAGCACCGAGTCTCTCGACTCGTTACATGTGCAATAGCCGTAAGTAGCGGTCAGTAGGTGAGTCAAAAAACGAAATCTGTGAAACAGCCGACATCTTGAGAAAACCACGTTTAAAGAAGAACCGCGTGCCTCTCAGATGCCGCGCACCCAATCATCAAAGTCGCATTTTCAGCATAATGGGTGTGTTTAGTCTATGGAAGCCGTCGGGAGAGATACAAGTAGGAGGGCAGGCGAAGCGATTGAGCATCCCGAAGGTTTCAGCTCGTCGACGATCCGGAGACGCCGGACTCTCGATCGTGATCGAGCCCCCTCTGCCACCAATAATCATCGTACGGCCGCAATTACGGTGCCCGAGGCGGCCAATCGGCATCTCTTAGGCTCCTACTTCTCTCTCCGCACTCTATTATTAGGCTATATTATCGTAATGCGCCATCCACCATGTCCGGGGCCAACGAAATGGCTTCTATAATAAGGACAGTCGGATCCGGCATTTAGCTCTCAGCATCTTCGCGCGCAATCATCGCGTACGATGATCGCGAAACCACGGCGGGTTTACAAGCTTCATCGTCGCTCGGTCTTCACATCGCACGATCTCATGGTTTTCTCGTCTTAACTTTTAAACTTGCGGTATTCAGGCGTGACGCGCTTATTCTTTACAGTTTCATGGAAATTGAATCAAAGGTAGCGTTTATCGGGCTCAAGGAGATTCGAGTGTTGGGAAAATTGAAATGGAATTTCTGTTATATACTCTTTCTTTCTCGCTCGAGGTTATATTGCGAGAATGTGCATTATGACGAGTAGATTCTTATCTTAACATCATTCTCTTTCGTGCGACGCAAGATCACGACTGCTTCGTCGTACAAAGCAACCGGTGTACGTGAACAGTGGGAGCGGAGTATATTCCCAAAGAGGTAGAAGGTCTCATAGTTATAATGTAAATATCGCAGGTGGAAATCTCTCTTGTGACAGAATGTACGTGGGGCCCGGATGTCTAAGTTCTCCGAGTGTTACGACGCGATTTTTAATATATAGTTGACTTATAGTTGACAAAATAACTATATTTGTTGCTTTGTATATAGTTTTACTAGTCTCAGAATTGATACAAATAAGTCTTGATTGGCTTATTCTCTACTACCGGTAGTCGACATGTGTTGATTGGAAAGTCTGACTATGTTAAATGGTTTGATCGAGAAAAATTCATATATATATATATATATACAGGGTGTCCCAGATCCCCTTCACAATCTCTCGTGAGGACTGAAAGCGGATTGAGATGAACACAAAAGTCCTATCCCATTTTGCGATATTCGCAATAATAGTCGAGATATTAATTAAAAAAGATTGGTGAATGATAATGCGCGATATGGTAGATGAACTGCAATTGCGCCGTTTATCGTTGTATATTTGTACATTAAGTCAAACTGAACAAAAAAGTCCTCTACCATTTTGCAAATGACAACATAGATTTTTAGATATTAATCAAAGAAAATTGTTATTGATTATAACGAACAAATTTTCTTTAATCAATATCTAAAAATCTATGTTGTTATTTGTAAAATGGTAGAGGATCTTTTTGTTCAGTTTGACTTAATGTACAAGTATACAACGGCAGACGGCGCAATTGCAGCTCATATACTACATCGCGCGTGATCATTCACCAATCTTTTTTAATTAATATCCTGAGATTTATTGCGAATATCGCAAAACGATATTGGACTTTTGTGTTCATTTCAATCCGCTTTACGTCCTCGCAAGAGATTGTGAAGGTGATCTGGGACACCCTGTATGTATACACACACACACACACACACACACACACACACACACATATGTATGATATGTACACGCATGCTGTACGAACGCTTTTGGAAGTTTGCTCGATTCTTACCCACGATGTCTGTCATACGGACGAGAGAGGTGAATAGTTGGGTTGGGAGTGTGGCCCCTTTCCCAACGTGGGTGGTTGGACGGTCTGACGCTACGAAGGGGCGGGGGAGTATCGAGGGCGCTAATGTTCCCCAGGCAGGAAACGCCATCTCCATCCTGCACCCTCTATCTCTCCGCTTGCTCGCCTATTTTTATTCGTCTTTATCTGAGACTTGAGTCGGTTCCTCTCCATTTCCTCTTGAGGAGTTCTTCCTCCTCCTCGCGCCGCCATCGCTTCCACCCACCGTCGCTGCCACTACCATCGCGGCATTCTACCTTTTCCCCTCCGGGTACCGATGCGGTGACAACAACATGCAAACATTCTGGTATTTGCAATTCGAATGCCGCAAAACGGGGACGGGAAGCCGCGACGGAACAGCCTGAGGTGGTCCGCTTAACTTCTCGAAGACGCAGCCGCGACTACAAGCTCGCTATTCTATTAATTCACGCTCGGATAAGGACGGCTGCAAAAATCGCTATCATACACGGCAATTTTAATAAAAGAACACGTATTGTAACATGAAAGAGAGATATCGTTTTTTTGAATTATATTAATCGAGTTCAAGAATTGGAGCTCTTGTCTCGCAAATCTTATGGAGTTCCCGGATACGTCTTTTTTTATTTACAAAGTCATCGGCAATTGTTCTCCTATTTGCTAATCTCCCATGATGCACCAAGGCGCGAGTGTTACGAGCTAAAAATTTGTTGAAGCTCCTCGATTTCCCGAATTAGACCAAGTCGAACTCTTTCTGGAACTTCTAGAGAACAAGTGATCCTCAATATCGCCAGTTTCTGAGAATTGAATGTTATTAT